GCACCGAATAGCCTGAAGGATTGAAGGAATCAAGAATAGAAGCCATTCCGAAGTCCCGTCATACCGATTGAAGGTTGGGGCAATCATATCCAAAGCATTCCAGATTCTTCTATAAAAGAACGAGGCTGAAATACTTTGGAGGGGGTATCTGTAGGCGTATAAAATTGCTTATAGGTCCCTTAACATAGCTCAGCACGGTGATTCGACAAATCAACGAACCATCGGGTGACGTATCTAAACGTGAGCGTTAGTCCGCAATACCGAAGCTAAGTGACACACGACGAATTGGATTAACGAGGTGACGAGGCTAACGAACCGTACGCAAACAACGGAATAGATCCACTCGCGTGCAGAATCAAGCTAACAATTCGGTGAGTCAACGAGTCATCCAACCATAGAACGGATTTGAACTCAAACACCGATGCGGATTTACTGCCATATTAGGATTCGGACTGTCAAATCAGAGTCCGGATTAACAACGAAGCGTAAAACCGGACAACGGACACAACACATTGAGGACTCGGCCAAAACCGAGCCACCTCTAGGTGGCTCGGTGGCCGAGCCACCTCTAGGTGGCCGGCCCAGATCTGTGCCAAGGCACAGATCTGAGAGCCTATAAATAGGAGGGCATGGTTCATTTTTGAGGGGTTGGAACTTCTAGAGACGAAACTCTGCCGAATTGAGAATTGAGCTTGGAGTTTTGAAGACTTGGAGACTTGGACATTCAGATCTGGTTCTTGGCGAGCATCCACGTCACAAAAGGCAGGAGTTCGAGAGAGAGAAATCAGATCTGAGATCTACACGAAGTAATACTCCGGATCAAAGCTTGACCTTTGATCCCGAGAACTAAAGGCTATTATTTCCTTGGTGAAATAGTACCCCCCGGCTGTTATTTCCTTAGTGAGATAACACCCGTCAAATCGTGTAGATCCGACCGGATCTAGATCGCGCGGTGGTCCACGGATTAACCCTGGCGTTGGCAAAGAACCCACAAAAGCGAGTGACCGCAAAACAGGAGCTCGTGATTCATTCGAAAGGAAAGTTGTAATCTTTTTATTTTTTTCTTTGATTTCGTTGTAACCGGATCTTATAAAAAGACCGGATCTTTTGTAATCAAAAAGCAATTACTTGAGAGAACAATGACATCAATGAAGAACACAATTTTTCCCACGAACAGGGGGAAACTAGGAGGAGCTGCAGCACATGAAGTTTCTGCTTTTGAGACCCGGACACATTTTTCCCAAAGTTATAAGGAGTTGTTAATTAAAAAATTTCCTAATTAAAACTAAATGTATTCTTTAAAGTGGGGTGTATTTAATAAGCATCTCGGAAAAAGAAACTTATCATTTTATAATTTAATCCCTTATAACGTATAACTTAGTGAATATTTATAATTTTAGTTCAAATCCTATTTTCATTCATGATTTAGAATATTCTTGAAATAAGAAAATGATGTATAATGATTATTGTGAATGAAACACTACTCTCATTCTTAGTTTAGAATCTTCCAAAAATAAGAGACTATACATAAAACTAGGGGGAATCTTTCATGTGTAAAATTACCAATATACCCCTCACTCTTCTACTATTGACCGAAAATACCGTTTAAATTTTTTGGTACCCCAAAAAAAATTAGTAGCATAGATTTTTTTTATATTAGATAATGTTTTAAATACATGCTACAATACTACAAACAAATGCACATGCAAGTAACTTTAAATTTTTATCTAAACAATTTTCTATCCTACATATTTTTCATGTTATGTTATTTAAGCTATGTTATTACTTATAAGATTCAGTATAGAAAATGTTTTGTCGATTATTTTTTTGGGAGTTCATTTATTAGAATATTCTAATTGGAGTATGTAATTTTAAATCAAACATATTCCAACAATGTAGAATTTAATTCGACTTTGAACTATCTATTGCTGCTGGCTTCCAAAAAAAATTTACTTAGAAAAAATACATATATAGTTGAAAATATTATCATATATAAGGGAGCCATATAACAAGGTATCAGAAAGTCTGTGCACGAACTCTCTTACAAGCAGACGACATTTACAAATCACTGAAATAGTGAAATTGTATGTTGAAAGTAAATGAAAAAATATATTTAATTTGGTCTTAAAAACTTATGAGAAGTTAGTGTTGGCCTTCTTGTTTTGATGATGTTTAACAAACAATTTATTACTAATGTTGTTTGTCTAGTGTTTGTGCATTCCTATGTTTTGTAGACAAACAACGTAGTTGGAGGATGGATGGATTGCGCCATAACGACGATATCAAATGGAGGTTGGCGGAATTGTGGAGTGAAGCAACATGCAATTCATAGTTAAAGATCAAGTTCAAGCTTCATCCGCATGTGTACCAAGTTGAGCTACAATGAAGATCAAGATCAAGCTTGGGTAATCTAGTTTAGATTTTATATTATGTGTGTGAAGTACCTTAAGCTCAATATCATATACACACACGTATTTGGTTTCTATGTATATATATAGTTATATATATACATGCATGGTTTTGGGTTTTCATATTTTGAACACTTTTGCAAAATAATGAGATTTCACAATTGAGAAATGAAAATTGAAAAATTCTTTTTTGTAACATGTTCAAAATATCATTTGCAAATATTTCTCAAAGTTTCATCAAGTTTGGAATTGATTTGTTATGTTTAAAGGAATTTACAAATTCACGTTTTCGTTCGTGCACATGTTCGTGCATGTTTTACAAAACTGATGAGTTTTCACAAATGAGAAGTGATATTTGAAAAATTCTTTCTCTTACATGTTTATCTACATATTTAGAAACTTTCCACAAAATTTTACTATTTTTGGAGTTGATTTACTGTGCCTAATTGATCTTACAAAATCGTGTATCACAGCAGATTTTCAGAAACTGTATTTCTGTGTTCAAACATTTATTTCTCTCAACTGGGAAATGTTTTTTCAGAAATCCTTTCTCTAACATGTTTTTATACATGTCCAGAATCTTCCCTCAAAATTTCATAATTTTTGGAGCTATTTTACTATTTTTAACCGATTTTATAAAATCGGATATACCTGCTTCAGTACCGTCGGTCGACCGAAATTTCCTCCGGTCGACCGAAATTTACCATCGGTCGACCGAAATTTCCATATCTCCTGCGACTCTGACCTTGTTTCCGGTCGACCGCGATTTTCATCGGTCGACCGCTGGAGTCCCAACGGCTCTTTTTAGAGCCGTTGAAGATGGTTTTTTGGTCTTTTGACTTGGGATTTTTTGCTGAGATCTTTAGAGGGTATAAATACCCCTTTGTTGATATCTTTTCAATATGTAAAGAGAATGGTTTAAAAAGTTTTAACAAGGGTTTAAACTTGTTTAGTGTTTGTTTAAGTTTAAGAAGCTTTTAAGCATTTGAGTGTTTCGGTTTTGTGATTCAATTCTACAAGAGCTTGAGGAGATCATCTATTGGTGTTTGGGCATTCAACTATTCTCCCTCCAACTCTTGATATATTGAGAAGTTTTCTAAACTCTATTTCTAGCTTTTTTATATATTTGATTATCATTGTTATTAAGCTAGAACTACATTGAGTTTAGTTTTGATTTATATCTCTTTGTTCACACACAACCTTTTGAGCTTATTGTATTTACATTCATAGTATAATTTAGGGTTGTGGGTTTGTGACATTGAGAGTGAGCTTAATTGAGTTCTCACCTTGTTTTGAGAACAATCATTTGTCATATTTGTGCTTATTGTGAGAATCACTTTGTAATACACTTGTACACCGAGTGAGGAGTGTGTGGTGAGAGTCGGGGATCGTCCCAAGAGGAGTGGCGTCGGTTGACGTGCCTAGGGAGAGGTTGTAACCGAGCACTTGAGGGAGACACGGCTAGGTCCAACACTTAGTGGGTGTAGAGTGTGATTGCAAGAGTGTGAGTTGTAGAGTTTTCGGTTAGCTAGAAAACCGAGTGTGTAGAAGAAGTTCCGGCTTCCAAACCGGATTGTGTTAGTGGATTTCTCCCCGGGAGTGGGGAGCGGAGACGTAGGACGGAAGGTCCGAACTCCGTGATCATATTGCTTGTTTGAGTGTGCTTTGGCGTTCATTCATATTTATGCTCATATCTTATATCGCCATTGTCATTAGCTCATTATCTATATCATCCACTATCTTGTTTAGATTGTTTACCCCTTGTGTTGTTTATATATTCTTGCATATATACTTTGCTATATATCTCTTTGCTAGGATATATCACATTATATATTGCTTATTCTTGCTTATAACTCTTGTATATCTATCTTGCAAGAATACATCTTGTTAATTAGTTTTAATTGGTATTTAATCGGATTAGATTAGCATAAGACCCTAATCACCCCCCCTCTAGGGTCTAACAGTTAGTGTACTTCTTTTGCTTGAATATAAAGACTTTCCACAACCCAAACTTATCATAAACTATCTGGCAATCTAGTTATTGTAAAGAAAAAAGAAAGAAACATAAAAAGGAACAATAAAAATATTTGATCGTGTCATCTAGTAAAAGTGTAAGCGAGTGAGCTAAAGAGTTGAACTTACACATATTTACTAATGCAATGAGTACAACAGGTTTCGCACGACACATAAGGAAACTGCTTGTATACATCAATCAACAATGTATACAAGGGCCTTTTACCTTCTTTTGCTTGAATATAAAGACTTTCACTTCCTTTTACCTTTTATATATATATATATATATATATATATAGAGAGAGAGAGAGTTCTTTTTTCTTTTATATATATATATATATATATATATATAGAGAGAGAGAGAGAGAGAGAAAACGGGAGGTGAGCTGCCAGCGTAGAAAATTTCCTTCGCTGACGCCATGTGTCAAGCTCTTTTTCGTTGGACACACATTTATAGAATTAACAGATTTTAGAAAGATTAAATTTGTAAAAAATAAAGGGCCTTGAGGTAAAAATCACAAATCTCATACGCTTAACAGTTGGCTTTCCTAATTATTCCAAAAGCGAATAATTCCCAAAATCCCACTCCTTCATCATTCGTCATCCCCCTCCTTCCCCAAGCGCCGGCGGCGAATAATTCCCACCACATCCCAAAACTCCCCAGAAAAATTCATATATATCTCTCCCCCTCCAAGAGCCTTCCTCCTCCGTTGGCCAACTCCGCCGACCAACTCCGCGAGGCAACGCTGCAAGTGGTGATCTCTATAGTAATAATTATCTTTCTTTTTTTGCTTATTATTTAACATCTTTTTTAAGCGCCTTTTGTCTTGATTAGACCATGAAGTCAAATAACTTTGAAAAGTTTGCGCTTTGCTTACATTAGAATCTGAATATTCTTGAGGTTGCTTGGCAACGTTTGCAGGGGTGGGTGGGTCAAACATGGCCTACTCAATTTATGTGTTTAACTCGGAGGATTAAGATGTTCAGATTTTCTTTATCTTTCTTTTTCCTAATTTGAGAGAGAAGGTGGAATGTTACATCAGTAAGTCTATATCAATCGATGCTTCTCCGTTCCTTGTTCCTATGGAGTGTCATAGTTCAGCAAATTTAAAACCCAGTTGGACCGTATACCCTTCACCTTGGCTTTATCTAGATTTGCTGGTTGTGAATATGGAATTATTAATGCAAATAGCAAGAGCGTTTGTATTATCAAGTATATAATTTTGTTTGATTTGATATCCAGGGTCTAGCTGATTCTGTTGGTTTGCCATGTCGAATAGCCCAAGGATGCAAGTACTACACATTGCCGATCTTCAGGAGACGCTGCCACCAATCTTTAGGAAACCTTCGCCGATTCTTAAGCGAAGAACGGACACCCTCATCATCCCAAATCACCGATCTTCAGGAAACCATGTGATCTGTCATGAATGGTGGGATCTCGTTAGGATTCCCGAGTTCTTGGTGTTCAGGGCAATGGTGGTGTTTGTTTTCTCAACGTTGTATGTTATTTGGTGTTTGGTTTTTCTTATGCGACTATGTTGGTTAAGACTCAAGGTTTAATTAGACCTGATTTGGAATTTAGTTGTTAGTTAATGTTTGATTTCAATTGTTTGTTTGATTATTGGGAAATTATTACTAATATAAAACTGAATTGTACTTGTTCCCATATTTCAAGCATGATTAGATGCTAACCAAAAGAAGATTATGATAGAGAAAGTAAACTCTATACTTGTACTTCTGTGGACCTTTTTATACTGTGGATGATTGCTGGTTTTTCATATATTTGCTGGTTTTTGTGGATGATTTGATGATGTGTGTCAATATAACTATCTTGGCTATGGATGATTGTTACATGTGGTGTATGTGAATATTTACAGGTTTAATTTGACTTTAGATCTCTGATGCCAATTTGGTGGTGGATTTTTTGGATTTCTTGCAATCTGTGTAGGGTTTGTGCCTGAGTGGATTATGTGTATTGAGTAATATCCAGGCCTTCACTTTGGCTCCTCATCTTGTGACACTTTCTTCTATACTAGTGACCGCAAAAATTGCAGGTGGGTTGATTCTAGTTTTCTATTTATCAGATTTCAGTATGTTTGTTGTGAAAAGATCTTAACAGTGACGTCTGATATGAAGAAAAAAGATACACACTCATGCTAGTTGGTGCTTGAGCTCTCTAATGAACTTAAATCAAAAGATGTTATTGTTGATGCATGACTGGCTATACAATTTTAGTTCATACAACATGAGAGAACCATTCACTCTCCAGCAGTCTTAGCCATACAATCTTAGTTCATACAAAATACTTTAAATGAAACCATACAATCTTAGTTCAAACAACATGAGAATGCGAAAACCATACACTCTCCAGCAGTCTACAAATCTAAACAGTCACACCATCAAAATCCAAGTCTTACATCAGAACATAATAAGTTGACATTGTTTGAAGACACAAAACTTGCTATTCCTAACAAAGCTAACTCAACAAGATTCAAGGATCATGAATTGAGAAGCTACTCCCTCGTAATTCGCAGACACTGCACCAAAAAAGAAGGGGATTAGAGTGCATTCTTCTAATTAATTTAATACAAGTGAATCCAAAAAAATGTAATTAAAATCTAATAACTAAAACATTGCAACAGGAAACAAACAGAACAACCATTGTTGACACAATGTTTGAGTTATGGTGAGATAATAAATATCAGTAAACTCAAAGAACACTACACAGTATTAAATTAGGGGAGTATATACATTAAAAAGGTTATAATGAAGGTCAAGCAAATATCAATGATTAGCTTCTGAAATTACTACAAACCTTTATGAATTGAGATGATATTCTGGGAAGATGCAACTATGGAAAAAAAATGTGAAAACAAAATGTTTGCGGTAAAAGTTGCTGTTTTCATTGCTATCGAATCTATTACAACTTTAGTCGTTACAATAAACTCAAATAAAAATAAGTTTTAGAAATAAGTATTTTTGTGATCTGGATATTTCATCCAAAAAATCATGCATGTTTGTGCATGAAAAGTTACGAAGTCACAAATTCATAGTCATGCACAAATGTAACAAATCTAACTTTTATTTTCCACACGAGCAAACATATGAAATTTATGGTTTCTTTACATTAACCTGTTACTTACAGCAATATGTATACTTCCTTATTATCACATAAGTCACGAAACCTTCACGGTGTTTTTTTATTGCAGCAGCTTTAATTTTTTAAATTCATTTTATTACACTCTCTGGTAACATTTTTATAGGTCATCAGACTCCCATCAGATCAAGTTTCAATCAGATTGTTACCTAATGGAGAAATTGACCACATTATTCTTTGTGACATAAATATATAGTTTTCTGGGACGATTGAAATTGGGTTGACAATTTACCATGCAAATTTTCATTCTTTTGCCTAAACCCGATGTTTCAAGTATCTTGTTTGTAGAACCTGAAGTGTAAAATTAAAATAAAATTAAAATTTAGATTATCGTTCTTTGAACTGGTGTAGATACGAGTTGCAGCAAATAGTGGTGTCATAAAGGACATTACAGAACCCGTTGATTATGGTGGTTTTCCAGCAGTAATGATTCAAATTTTCTCTTTCAGGTTATTATACATCACGTATGAAATGTTTATTTTTCTCATATTGTTTCTACCTTGCAGGTTCCAATCCATGAATGGCACAGGCAGTCTGCTAAGCTCCGCTATTTTTTCAAGCAATAGTCCAACTTGTAAAGATTTGTGGTTTTTCTAGATGAATGTGAAATTGAATGCATTCTATTGTAAAAGCGACCTATAAAAAGGTTCATGAGAATTTTGGATTTGATTTGAATTGTAATTTTTCTTGTATCCAGAGAAATCTTTCTTGTGGTAAAGACAGTGTTGGGGGTAAAAGAAATACATCAGGCTAGGGCTCAAGATTCAAATCTTTAATCAAAGGATCAAAAGGGACAAATTAATTGAGAGACCCATCGTTAGAGAGAGATCGCGATTTTACCTGCGTTAGCTTCGTCGGAGTTGGCTCGCGGAGTTGGTCGATGGTGTTGCAAATCAGCGGAGTTCGCTCGTGGATCGAGAGAGGGATCGAGAGAGATCGAGAGCGAGATAGCTGGAGAGGGAGAGAGAGCTCGAGATCACCCCTTGCAGCATTGTCTCGCGGAGTTGATCGTCGGAGTTGGCCGACGGAGGAGGAAGGCTCTTGGAGGGGGGGAGAGATATATATGAATTTTTCTGGGGAGTTTTGGGATGTGATGGGAATTATTCGTCGGCGGCACTTGGGGAAGGAGGGGGATGACGAAGGATGAAGGAGTGGGATTTTGGGAATTATTCGCTTTTGGAATAATTAGGAAAGCCAATTGTTATAAGGGGGTGTTTGTTTTGATTTTTTTTTTGGGATTTCAAAATGGGATTTGAAATCCATAAATGATGTGGCTTTTAGGATTTGAAATCCATAAAGGGGGTTGTGTTTGCTTCAACAATATTTTGGGATTTGGAATGCTAAAACTTGTAATATTTTGTTTGTTTCATCAATATTTTGGGATTTGGAATACTATAAATTATATATTATAATATTATATAAAATTTTAATAACATATATTATATAATATATAATATATATATATATAATATTATAGATATATTATATATTTTATATATAATATATAATATATATTGTAATTACTTTTTTAACCACTTAGGGGGTGTATGGTTCAATTTCTACAAATTATAGAAAATATTTTCCACCCAAAATATGATTTACTTGTATTTCTTTAAAAAAATTATAGGAAAAGTTTTAAGAAGTCAAAAAGTACCAATTTTCTTATTTTTTTTGTACTTTGTCAACTTTATAAAAAAATGTCAATGGAGTGTCAGATTTCTGGGTGACTTACGCATATTTTGAGAGTAAATTGATTTCTGTAAAGTTTGGTACTTTTCTATACTTTACTGAAAATTTTCTATAAATTTTTTTTGAACTAAACACTATTTAAGAAAATTTATAGAAAATTTTTAATTATATAATGTCATTGTTAGTCATTTTGAGAAAACTTTTCTATAAAACTGTTGAACCAAACACGCCCTTATAGCTAGTGTAAACTTAAGTGGATTGACGGCCCGATACATCGAACTTTTTAGCCGTTAGATTCACCTAATTGATCAAGATTTTAATCTAATGAATAAATTTATATTTATTAAAGTCATTTTGAGAAAACTTTTCTATAAAACTGTTGAACCAAACACGCCCTTATAGCTAGTGTAAACTTAAGTGGATTGACGGCCCGATACATCGAACTTTTTAGCCGTTAGATTCACCTAATTGATCAAGATTTTAATCTAATGAATAAATTTATATTTATTAAATAATTATATGTAAACATGTATATATATATATACATATACATTCATACACTGTGTCATTAACTCGATTAACTAATTATTATTCTATTATCCAACACTCTGTGTGAATGAGGTCTTGGTAGATTCTAATTAAATTTATTGCTTAATTTTACTCAATTAGAGCTATACAATCTTTTTGCCATTAATTCGGACAAAGTTCTTATTGGCATAGATGAGGTGGTTTTGTTTAATAATCACCTTCACTTTGACCTGTCAATGCTGTCACCTTAACGTTAATAATGCATTGAAGAGGGACCAAAAATAGTCGCCCTTCATCACATTTGATTACTAGATAGTGAGGACTTAACTCTTTAATATCCATGCAGCTCTACCTCGCACTGACGAAAAGCAATATCAGTTTTTAGCAAAGTTTTGTTCTATCTTTAATCATGACAAAGCTAATAAAAATTAGTAATGCAAGCATGACAAATGTCAGAACGGTTATGATCTGGATAACAGTAATTTATATAAGTGTCATGTCAGCAACATATAAACGAAGTCCATTGAGTGATACACTTGCTAGAATTGTTCTAAATAATATGAAATATTTTTTACTGATTCCTTTAATGACTGAACTCATTAAGTACATGCAACATGGGGAGGCTTTTCGCCAATCTTTAGTACAAAAATTAAGTTTATGCAACTTGAGCATTCATCCAAAAAAAAAAAAGAAAAAAAGAATTGTAACAGTCTTAGGTGGACGACTTTAGTCAATAGCAACCCTATCAGAACCATCACTAAAGGAGTGAAGTAATTTATTTCATAGATAGGACAACTCAAATTCCAAAAGTAACACGCTAACCACCCGTAAATGGTTCACATCACCCTATTTTTATGGTGTATACTCTCATAGAATTTTCACTCAATTTTGATCGTGAGAGCTGATACATGATCCGGATAAAGGTCTATACTTATAAACTGAAAGAATAAAAATTAATGGGCCCACCAAAAGCACTACTTTTATTAGAGGCCCACTGAACAAGTAACCACACAAATTAAACCAATTTGCACTTTTGAGAAAATTGTGTCTAGGCCCCAAAAAACTAAAGGGGATGTGACCTAGCCCCTCAATGTTTTTCCTTTACTCTTTAACTTCAAAAACCCAAAAAATATGTTCAGCCCCCTTTTCACACTCTCCCATGTATTCAGCCCAAACAATTCCGAAAATACCCTTCCCTTTTCTTCCTCTTCTTCTCCTCCTCCTCTGTGGCTTTCTCCTCCTCTCAATCTCTTCCCCCTCCTCTGTGGATTCATATTCTCTGCAGCCACCAACGCAGACGCCGATCTACTCTTCCTCACCTCCTCGAGCACGAAGAACTCCCGACAATCACCGGCGCCGTCTCGTTCCGATCGGATATCAAGTGGAGGTCCGATCCAACGACATCGGATCTCAAGTGGAGGTCTGATCCAATGACATCAAATAATTAACATCTCGTTCTGGTCAATAAAGAACTACCCTATGTTATTTCTGTTGCCTTGTCTTATCATGTTTCTGTGGTTCTCGTCTTCTTGTTACAAATCATGAACGACTTCTATTCATTTGACGTGATTATTCCTACTAATATTTATGGCTTTGCTAAAGTTTGCCTATTGATCAATGAATATTTTGTAATAAATAATAAATGTGTTGTATTATAAAAAAATAATATTTATTAACATTTGATTTGAGATCAATCCAATGTATATATGTGAATATAGAAGTGATATCATGCACACGTGCACGGGCTGGAATCTGGGAAAAACATATATATATATATACTGTAAAACCCAAAAAAATTGAATATTTTGTAATAAATAATAAATGTGTTGTATTATAAAAAAATAATATTTATTAACATTTGATTTGAGATCAATCCAATGTATATATGTGAATATAGAAGTGATATCATGCACACGTGCACGGGCTGGAATCTGGGAAAAACGACTAGTTAAAAGTATATACATTTTACTTACTAAATCATTTGGAATATGGAAAAACTTAAAACCAAAGTTGTAGGCCTCTTCAAGATCTTTCTATCAAATCTTATATCACCTCATTTTAAGGTCAGACGTGAAAGTTATGGCTAAAATACAGATGGTTGTTTTCCTAGTCAGACTAGGTTTCCTAGTTCGGATCAAACAGATTTGTTTCGGGTTTGCCTCTATAAATTCCTATGTTTTTCACAAAAATTCATCTCTTTTATCATATCTATGAACCTTATTAGCCACCCTCTCACTACAAGAAATTACATCTTTAACGAAGGGATTTCCCTTCGTTAAAGAGCTGAAAACCTTCGTTATTGTATGCTAACGACGGGGAAAAAATCCCTTCGTCACCAGTTGTTGAAGCCCTCTTCGCTAAAGGGTCACGAAGGGATATACTACCCGTCGTTATAGAGTCTATAACGACGGAACATATTACCATCGTTAATATTTACGACGGTAATTATCACCGTCGTTACCATCAGTGACGGGATATTTTCCCGTCATTACCATCAGTGACGGGATATTTTCCCGTCATTATCATTAGTTACGGGGATATTTTCCCGTCGTTGAAGACTAATTAATGACGGTTGGATACCGTCGTAAAAGTCCTCATAATGGGTAATTAGTAACCCATCAACAACGGTGCTTTCCCTTCGTTGATGAACAAAATACGGTTTATAAAACCATCATTGTAGACTACAAATTTCTAATATACATTAATAATATTTTTTCTATTCATAGGCAACTATCATATTATTCTCAACCCGACACTAAGATTCACAACACAAATATATTAAAAATACCCAATAATGAATAAAAGGGAAAATAAAATTCTATTCATTAATAACATCAATAAATAAAATTCCACCATCCTCAAATATTCAATACTAATAACAAGAGTTAATATCCTAATTGTTCTAAAAAAATACACATGAAACTATCTACAACAAATTAAAATACAAGTTTGGGGAAGACATATTCTTTCATCTCTAACCATCGTCAAAAGAAGACTCGAGCTACCCCCTCTCCTAATCTAGCATGAATAGCCTGAAACTTTAAAAAAAAATCACATAATTAAAAAAAATATCAACTAAACAAATATTATCTTATTAAGTAAAAATCATATTTTTTTAGTGCAAGTAGTCAATCATAAAAAAACTTTTCCAATCAGAACATTGCTTTACAAAATGTACAAAATGGGAGATGAACCTTCGAAAACTTCTTGTATTTTCTAGATTCAAGAGACGGGGGAGCATTATTCAAGGTCATGAGAAAGACCTGCAAAATAATTTTTTTCAGAGAAGGCATCACTGAAAACATGCTGCATAACAGAAAGTAACATTCTTGCATAGCTTTCCAAATATTCATATTTTAGGTGAAAATCAATGAACCAAAGTCATTAGCTAATTGTACCAAAATCCTCTTGCCTTTTGGAACTAAGTTCAAATGCAAATGGAAAACACAAGGAAGAAAACTCAGATTACTATAATACCTTTATAGGCGGTCGAGAGGAAAAAGGAGCATGCCCAGGAGCAAGCTCCAATGTCGTAATTCCAAAAGACCAGATATCCACCCTGCAGTTTGTTACGAAATATTTTGTGAGATCTGGGATCTACAAAATGAACTAAACTATATAAACAAGATAAACAGCGAAAGAAGTCACAAAACCTACTTGAAATCATAACCATATCGTTGCTCCATCACTTCAGGTGCCATCCTAGAAAAAGAAGATTAAAAAAACCAGATGTCACTATCTGCAAAACTAGTATTATGTAACCATGCTAAAAATTTTCAAAGGACGCACCAGCAAGGAGTTCCAACTAAGGTATTCCATGTACGCTGCCTATCACCCGAATAAAAAACGCAAGCGGAAACACCAAAATCTCCGAGCTTCACTCCTCCATGTGTATCAACTAAGATATTACCAGCCTACAAAATATATTAAAGTTAGAAAGCTGTCT